GTGGCTCCCATTGATGACAAGATGCGGGAAGCGAGGCTTAGATGGTTTGGACATGTTCAAAGGAGAAGCCCAGATGCTCCGGTACGGAGGTGTGAGCAGCTGGTAGTGGAGGGCACGAGAAGAGGTAGAGGGCAACCCAAGAAGTATTGGGGAGAGGTGATCAGACAGGATATGACGAGGCTCCAGATTTCCGAGGACATGACACTTGATAGGAAGATGTGGAGGTCGAGTATTAGAGTTGTAGGTTAGGATGTAGTTGAGTCTTGACTTACTTCGTACCATTGTAGGACTGGCCACGTAGGTTTTTTTGTCTAGGGTAGCTAGTGACAATGTTGTGTTTTACTACTTCGCTTTTCAGTGCTTGTCCTATTTACTAGCTATCGTTTTTGCTTTGCATCTTTCTTCTGCATTTCATGGTGTTCCTATTTTTTCTATGATTGTTGTGGTGATACTAATGTTGTCTCCTCTTGTCGTTTTGTCCTTTTGTTTTCTTGAGCCGAGGGTCTTTCGGTAACAACCTCTCTACTCCTTTGGGGTAAGGGTAAGGTCTGCGTACACACTACCCTCCCCAAACCCCATTAGTGGGATTCTACTGGGTTGTTGTTGTTGTTGTAGTTCTGCTGTTACATCATGTTCTCTAGTACTTAGAACACCGAAACAGATTTTTAAGGTACTAATAGTGGAGCTATATTTAACAGAATAACCGTGATACATTTGAGCCTTTTATTGAAGATGAAGTACCATTTGATGAATATTGTGAGTCCATGGAGAAGGATGGCACTTGGGCTGGACATATGGAATTACAAGCAGCTTCTCTTGTTACTCATACTAATATATGCATTCACCATGTACGTCTTCTCCCCCCACTTAATCCCTCTGATACTTCTAAGCAGTTCTTGATTCTTTAGAACCGCTAGATCTTTAAACATCAAAGTTGCTCACTTCATAGTGCTCTGACCTGATGTTCAAGGGATTTTAGATTGACTATTTTTTACGTTCAATGTGGTACAGCATATGTCACCTCGCTGGTACATACAGAATTTTGACAACCGTGAATCTCGGATGCTTCATCTGTAAGTGTTGAAAGAATATGAGATTTCATCTTTCACTTGCTTATGTGTTTATTTGTCCAGATATTGTTATTCTTCTTAATGTCATACAATATTTCATTATCATGTTAGTCAAAACTTGCTATAGTTTGAGTCAATAGGAGTAAAGTAGAGCCCCTCCGGCATGTTTTTCTTTAGTTGTTTAACAGGAACGTTTCTTAGCTGGGTTAGGTTGTTGGAGGACTGATACGAGTCATTTTCATTAATATATTTATTTAGGGCAGTTATAATTGGCATTTAGCAGGTTTACCATCAGTGTTGTCAAAGGCTCATGCTTAAGCCCTGAAGCTCAAAAAAGCTCAGGGACGGCACTTCCCTGGCTTAAGCTACGTTTATATGTAGGCAAGGTACTAAGGCGTGTGCCTTATTGCCCATACATTCTATCTTGAATCCAACAATATTAAACACAAATATAATTGGCAAAGAGATGTTAGTTGTTACGGAAAAATTATGAATGGTTTTGTTACTTTTTTCTTGCATTACAGATATATTTTTATTGTTTCTCTTCATTGCGCCTTTTTTTGCTAAAGCCCACATTTTAACTGCGCTTTACACTTAAAGCCCTGGTAGACCTGAACCGCTTTTTAAAGCTTTTCGCCTTTGACAACATGTTGCATTTGCGTTGCAATATGAGAATAGTCTTATGGGAGATTAGTTTTAGTATATTAGTTGTTGGAGGAGACAGAGGAACTAGATGCGTAATAGACAGTCTCGTACCTTATTGAAGTTAAAAGTTGTTTTGTTTTTACTTATAGTTTACATTCTCTTGGACCAGTCTAATATTGTATTTGCTAACGTCATTCATATAGAATAAAAGAGCGTCATGGCAGTAATTCAGGAGGAGGATGAGAAAGTTCGGTATTGTAATATCTATGACATGTCCCAATGCTCGACATCTTCTTTGAAGCTTCTTTTCTTTCACAGACCTAGTTGAATGTTTGTAACCTTGTTCCTCCATCATGACTCTCCTAGTTGTCCTTATGCTTGCTGTCTATTTCTTCACTTCAAAGTCTTCTTTGGGTTTTGAGGGGGAGGGGGGGTTGTGGAAGGCAAATTCTCCTTTCCTCCTAGTAAAAGCTGAAGCTTGGAGGTGTATGTAGATCATTTTCTTTTAGTTGATACTAGTGTTCTGAATAAGTTCATGCCAGGTGATGTAATTTTCNGTGAGGAAGTTTGAGACGCAAGGCATCCCAAGTAGAGGAAGTTTCAAGTACCTTGGGTCAATAATACAAGGTGATGGGGAGATTGATGAGGATGTCAAACACCGTATTGGAGTAGGGTGGATGAAGTGGAGGCTCGATTCCAGTGTCTTGTGTGATAAGAATGTGCCACTGATACTTAATGGTAAGTTATACAAAGCAGTAGTTAGATCGACTATGTTGTATGGGGCAGAGTGTTGGCCGGTCAAGAACTCTCATGTCTAGAAGATGAAAGTAGCTGAAATGAGAATGTTGAGATGGATGTGCGGGCATACCAGGTTAACTAAAGATTAGGAATGAAGTTATTCGGGATAATGTGGGAGTGGCCCCTGCGGAAGATAAGATGCGGGAGGCGAGGTTGAGATGGGTCAGGCATGTTAAGAGGAGAAGCACAAAAGCCCCAGTTAGGAGGTGTGAGAGGTTAGCCTTGGTGGGTATGAGGAGGGTAGAGGTAGGCCTAAAAAGTCTTGGGGAGAGGTGATTAGACCGGGACATTGCGCAGGGAGCTTACTGAGAATATGACCCTTGATAGGAGGGTGTGGAGGTTGAGTATTAGGATGGAAGGTTAGTAGGTAGTCGATCGTTTCCCTTTGTCTTCCTCTGTTCGTTAGCATTAATGTTAGTTTGATATCATTTTATTCTTAGATTGCTATTATTACCTACGTTTTAGTTGCTACCTTGGCTTCGGTCTTCTTTTATCTTGTTGTTGTTACTACTTGTTGCCATTACTTCTTTTCATCTTTTCTTTAGCCGAGGGTCTATTCGAAACAACCTATTTGCCCCTCCAGGGAAGGGATAAGGCTGCGTCCATCTTACTCTCTCCAGATCTCACTTGTGGGAATTTACTGGGTTTGTTGTTGTTGCAGTATTCTCAATAAGTTCATGACAAGTGATGTAATTTTTCTAAATACTTGGTCCTGCTGCATGGACATCTCCCTCTCTCCCTTTTTTTTCTTGTGCATGCCTACAGATGTTGTTTTATAGGAAGGGGATTGGAGAAAACACAAGAAACTCATTTTAAATACTATTTTTTTCCCTTTTTTAATCTGTTATATTTTGCTTTGCTTTTCTAGTAGTTGTAAACTTCACAACTTTCTATCTCTTTGGTTGTTTGAGAGATTTAAGGTTATATTCAGTGTACCACTTCGTTTCTCTTCTTCCAAGGCAAAATGTAAATCTTTTATGGATAGACGCAGTCTTGTGAAATAGCTGACAATCAAGTTTTATAAGCAGCTTAGACCTTCCCCTCCCCCCTCCTTCTCAACTGTCACGTGTCTTTCTTTCTCCATTGTGGAGAGTCTGCTGTCTCTAGCTTTTTGCTGTACTGTGATTGACCGACTGTTTTGGTCCATTTTCATTAAATAACAAAGAACAGTTCCAAATCATGTAGAGGTTAACCTCCACCTCGTCTTTCTTAATAAAGAATTGATTATCAGAAGGAACTAATGATTATAGTGGTGTGCCTCTTGAACCCTCTGAGATTATTGTCTCTACTGAAGCAAGTGCCACTTATTTGGGTTAAAATGGAACAGCCTTTGGCATTTCTTTCTCTACTTCTTAGCCCCTTCATCATTACTTCTTACCCCTTCTTGCATTTTATACATGTTAGCTGCCTGACTTGCTTATTTACTGTCAGTTCTTATCATGACGGAGAGCATTACAATAGCGTTCGGCTGAAGGAAGATTCTTGCATTGGACCTGCTAGTCCGATTATTATCAAGGTTTATAGCACTTCATTTTTTAGTTTTTATTATGATAGGATTAGCAATGTCCCTTCTGTAACAACGAATTAGGATTTCTTGCAAGAATTCTAATAACCTTCAGTTATTTAAAAGGCTGATGCTGATCTTTCAGCAAAATCTCATGAAGCTATAGCTGCTTCCAAGTCTAAGAGAGACACTTCTGGGAATGTTGTTCAAGTACGATCAGTCAAAGTGGTTATGGCTGGAAGTGGGTGTGATGACATAGTAAAAGTGGAACAGGTCATTTGCCGATATCTGTTTCCTTGGTCTACAATGATGTGCAATTTGTCTGAGTGTTAAAAGAAACCTACATGTCTCTGTACTTGATATCTACTTCTTTTTTTATCTGCTCTTCTCTAGGTTTTACAACAGGTCAGTGGTGATGTTGATGCTGCAATTGAATATCTAATCGCAGAGCAAGGGTCCGAGGACCAGTTAAATGCAAATGATAACATTTCTTGTCTGGCAAGCAGTTCACAAGGTAATGATCACTTCAGTCTTGCTTTTAAAGTGATTCTGCCTATTGCCTTTCTCTGAAATTAGAGTCATGGTAAATTCTGGTTTTGTAATCATCAGACTCCCAAAAACATGAGTTTTTGACAAATAAAAACTAGAAACTGGAAGGCTTGTTATTCAACACGACTTATATACTCGTGTCAACCTTTGCATATGTAAATATTCAAATTTTAATGAATATTATTTGGCCCTCTTTGTTGATATTGCTTGTTTCTACTGTTTCTTATTATCTTTCTTGAGCTGAGGGTCTATCGGAAACAACCTCTCTACCTTCCCATGGTAGGGGTAAGGTCCCCAGACCCCACTTGTTGGAATTCCACTGGGTAGTTGTTGTTGTTGTTGTTGTTTTAATGAATATTATTGAAAAAACACGGACTTCTGTCCATATGGTAGTGGGTTGCCCAGGATTTACCGTGAAACATCTTTGGTGACACATTTTTCCTTTTCCCCTTTTCCCTACTTCCATTGGTTTTGAGCTTTGACGCCTGGTCATCTTATCCAAATTAACTAACCTAGTTTAAAACTACTGATTTTTTAGCTATGTGAGAAAAATCAAACTTAATTTCTGGACTAGAAATAATTGAAACAAATTTTAAAAAATTTGGTCAAGGAGGAACCTGTTTGGCTCTTAAAATAGTAACTAGTTCAAACAAAAGGGGACAGATTAAGTACTATGTAACATGTAGTCAGAATTTCACTTTATAGAAGTTAGAGAACCATTCATTTTACTCCATGCTTTGCTAGTCGACCTTCTTGACCTTATTGAAAAAGCCAAAGCAAGTTTCCTCTCTCTTTCTCTCCTTCCCTTCCCTTTTATTTTCTGGGCGGAGGGGGTTGGGTGGTTCTTTTGTGGGATATTTCTTTGGATCTCTGTTCAACCTCTTCCTACTGCTTTGAGAAATCCGTTTGCAAATGCCTGCATGAGAGGTAAGCTAGATGTGCCCATCTGAGGTACCAAGAGCTGTGGGATTTAGGTAGAAAGCTTTTGCTCCTATACACGGTAATATTTGATGTGCCATCATATGCACAATAGCCCCTTTTAGGTGACAGTACATTTTTGATAGCTTGGGCTATAGATATGACGATGAAGCATGGTTTTATATCTACTTTTCACTATTGTCATAACTCTGTCGTCAGGCGGATACTTTTTCTGCATTCTCTTTGATAATGGTTCTCACACTGGGGAACCCATCCTTCTCATGCTTTGGTGATCACTGAGCTGGAATATGTATTCTTAGCTCTGGTTCTCTAAAGGTGTCCCCTTGCCATTCACCAGGGACTCCAGGAATATTTAGGGCTTGCTAGGTTGGGAAGAAACACCTTAACGTTATGAAATCTACTTAATGCTACCAGGATTTTGTCACAGAGCTAGAGACAGTGGTAACACATGTTTTGTTGTCCCCATTAATTGATAGGCAAGATATATTCCACAAACGTACACATGAGATACCTGTCTATTGCATCTATCATAGACGGGATAAACTGGTATAGTTATGTTTATGATTTTGTTGCCAGCACCTCGTCTTCTTATACTTTTCATTCTTTTTAGGGTCTCCAGGACAGCATGATAAATCCTGCGATGAACGCGATTTTAAATCTGAAGACCCACCTTGTGAAAAAGGTTCTACTGACTGTAGTGTCAAAGGAGCTTCTGATAGAAATACCACCCAGGAAGATGAAAAGGTAAAACAGCATGAATCTTGTTGTATCTTTCTAAAAATATATACTCCCTCCATTTCAATTTATGTGTCTTACTTTCCTTTGTAATATGTTTCAAAAAGAATGTATCTTTCTATATTTAGTAAGTAGTAACTATTTAACTCCAATATTCCACATGGCATATTTAAGACCCCAAGATTTAAGGGAATCTCGGCACATTACGCACATCTTTAGTTTAAGACCACACGATTTGAAAGTCTTCCTTATTTTTCTTAAACTCCGTGCCCAGTCAAACTAAAACATATAAATTGAAACAGAGGGAGTATTAGTTTTGTTCTTATGTTCATGTCTAATTGGAAACTGGGATTTAGTTACCGAGACCATCAAAACTTCGTCTTCTTTTGATGATGTAGAAAATTCCAAGAAATAAGGCCTGTCCCTGTGGTTCAAAGAAGAAATATAAGTCTTGCTGTGGATCAGTTGCTGGGAAACGTCCCACTAGCTATGCAGTGTATGGTTGTCGAAGATCACCTGTCTTTTTGGTTATTCCTGTGTATTTGTTGAAACCTTGTTGAAGTTTAGTTTGTTAATTCATTTTTGCGGTAAAATTGTATACAGCTTAATGCCATTAGCTTGTTGTAACTTGTGCGATGCTACTGTAGTTCTGCTTGTTCTGCATATGCTTATCTGCTTCTACTATTATATGTTTGCACTATGTTGTATTTGCAATAAAGTCTAAAAAAAAAAAGAATCTTAGAGAGCTTTCTATTTGAAAATCTTGAAAACTTTTTGCTTTCTAAGTTCGTTGATACATAGAGGCTGCTATATTGGATTTTGTGGGCTCTCCAAGTTATGAAGTTTGACAGCACAAGTATGATAATGTAGTGGTAAAGCTAAGAAAACACGAAGTACCTATCTTTCCTCCCATTTTGTTTTGAATTGAATAAACAAAATCCCTATATGCCGAGTTTGAAGACAAAATCGTCATGTTCATTTAACTTTTAATTCAGCCTCCTCTGTTTCCTAAATGACTTGATGTTCTGGGCACTTGGATTTCCAATTCTCTTTGCTTTCACATGCAATGGATATTTTTTTCAGCAACCGAACAATTGATTATGGCAAAGGTCGAAGAGACAAAAAGCAAGGCAAGAAAGTTCCACCTACCAATGTTACGAGTTCAAAACAATCTGATGCAAGGCCACCTGACTTGGGCGCGCTTTGTATATAATCAGTTTTTGAGGTATTTTCTTGCTATAATTGGTTCTGTCCATGCTCTACTATTTCGTCATTCTTTTCATCTTTATGGCCACTGATCAGTATATTGGTCGGTATGTAACCTCAAAAGTTGAGGCAACATTAGATTTGCCAGTGTTGTCTAACTTGTTATCCTGATAGCTCAAATCTTTTGTTGATTCCCTAGCTTGTTTTATCAATTAGCACAACATTATTTGCAAATAGCTTGGATCATGAAACCCCATCTTGTATACTGTTGGTTAATTCATGCATAACTATGAACAGAAAAGAGGACTCAAAGCAGATCCTGGTGTTATCCATGGGTACTGGGAGCTCCTCTATATCTAATGGGAGGGAGGAGAGGGAAACCGGATCAAGAGTTGGGAAGGATATTTCTACCATGGAGGGAAGTCAGAAAAGAAAGGAAAGCGAGGACAGCTAGAGTAAATAGGGGGAGGGGGGAAAGAATGTTGAAGGAGGCACACCGATGCATGACAAGGGAGGGAAGCAGGTATGGTGGAGGAGATGATAATTGCTGGGTGAATGGAAAGGGAGATAGAGAGATAATAAGAAGAGATTGATGACTGCTTGTCGGGACGAGGCTTGAGTGAACAGGGACAAGTTGAAGGAATAAGAAAAGCAGAGAAGAGAAACGGGAAAGATTTGCTAATCCTTTTACATGTAAGGGGCTTAAGTATCATTTCATGTCCTTATGGGGGATACTAATTCCTCCTTTCCCTATATATTAGTACCCCATCTCACGGGTGCCAGACGGAACTGATAGCATCCATCTGTATTTTGGTTGAAATAATGCTTTGATTAAATGAGTGCTAATATTCATTTCTTTTATCCAATTGAAACCATTGATAAATTTAGTAACCCGAGTTCGTATGATGGATGTGTCAGGCCTGTACTCATTGGCTGCTTAAGAACAAATATACCGCGTAGGTTTTCCATGCTCAAACCATCTTCCCCTCTGCTTTTGAATTTGTGGATAGGATGTTACAACTTTCCTATAGTGACTCTAAAAAATGATTTCTGGAGGCTTGGTCTCATAAAATACTGTACTTTCTATTTCGTAGGTACTGATTATTCTGCATTCCGCTTTGGAGGTCCATCAGATGCTACTTATAGTACTTTGTGAACTAAGGACTTGATTCATTGAAAGTGAGAGAACGTGGAGGTAAAGTATCCAGGAGGAATTTGAATCTGCTGCTTATTGATTTGTGCGGAATGAACGTCCAATTCATTTTCGGAATACCTTGGTTTTGGATGGTGCAATTCGTGGGTCCAATTTTACACTTCAACATATGTGGTTTTTGGTCCTATCTCAATGACTTAGTTCCTTTGGTTGTTTGGAGCGCGGAGTGAGAAATGGAACAAACGGGATCATTTTGAAGAACAGTGGACTTACGCAGCAAATCCAGCATTTCCTCGAGATATTGAACTAAATAAAATATGTGAGTATTGGGAGCAATTGAATTGGTTGCCAATAGAAAGCTTGTTGTTGCCTTAACGGCAGTTTTTTCCTCTTAGACTGGCGGTATTATTAGCTTTTTTAAATGGTGTCCATTTTTTAATCCTTTGTTAAGTTTTGCTTTAATGCACTGCTGTTGCGTCAGTGAAATACGAAACTTGGAATGTTTCCATCGAGTCATTGGTCTAGTTGAAGTTATTCCTACAGAATTTATCTTCCGATATCCACCAATAATTCTAAGATTTAAGTTATATACATTTAAGGGGTAAAAGTTTTTTACACTATGTTTTGTAGGTTACACTTTCATGCTTTCTATTAAAAAATTACCCGTACTTGGCTCTTTTATAGTGTAATGCTTTATAAACTGTTATGTGTATTTTTGTTAAACTATATTTCAGACGCGTATTAGTCATGTATTCAAAATAAGGAACTTTTGTCTTATCACCTGTTGTTTCATCGAACAAATGTGTCATTTAAAGCCTTGTTTAATTAAGTTACAAGCTCATTTAGTATCCACAGGTTTCTTGTCTTGTGTTTTTACCTTACAAATGTTGGTTTGAAGGCATCAAATTCACATTCGATTTTGATAGTTTTACGGGCTAATTGAAATGATGGTGTTACTGAGAATTTCTACACAAACAGAAAGTGCACTCGGTCAGTGGTAATTTGGATAACGTATCTTTTCTTTCGTTTATATTTGTGCTCAATTTAAGTCATGTAACGCACATTGTATAATATAAACTAACAGAAGCATAGACCATCTTGCTTTTCTGATAAGAATTGACGGTTGGAATGGTACTTCCAATTTCTCACTTTACCTGACCTAGTGATGCACTAAGGACTCCAATCTATCTGAGGGGACAAATAAGCTCACTGAGCAGTCTAACAACGTGGAAATTTCAGCAGAGACAAAATATTTAGATAGTTTCTTTTTATATGCTTCATCTTTGGCGAGACTTGCGCTTCTAGAAAGTAAGACGTATTTGGTAAAATGGTTTAAATGTGTGCGATCTGATCGGACACTATCGATATTGATTTTTTTTATGATTGGAACAGGAACATAGTATAGCTTGCTATGCAAGGACGAAGCTACAATATTACATATGGGTTCGAACGAAATCAATAACTTTTTCTTAAACTCTATATTTCTATTAGAATATAAATTTCAAATTCTGGCTTAACCTCTGCTGCTATGTTTGAGCAAAGATATGCCCTTGGTAGTTTAGCTTAAAGGTGGCTATCGGCCGGGCTGGCCCGGTTCCAAACACATTGCACTTCCGCTTGGGTCGAGGCTTTCACTTCGTCCTAAGACGGATCAAAGAAGAGTGGGGAACCTCTCGCTGGTTTTTGGAATTCGGGACCGACTCGATGTATAAAGGACTAGACAGGGGTGAGCTGGCTAGGGAATAGGTCTGTGCCGGTTGAAATTTTCTTACCGGTGAACCGAACCGGTACAGACTGGTAATGTCACGTCAATGGGTTACCAGTTACCTGGACCGATTCAACGACTATATTTTATTTTATTTTTAAAGGTAATTAACCGTTGGCACCCCTCAGTTCTTTTGCTCAATGGCTAGAATTGCAGAAACACCCCCTTTTGGGTCTTTTTAAAAAAAAAAAATTAGTAACACCGTTGTTATTTACTAATTAACCCTTTTAAAAATTATAAATAGACCCCCGTTTTTTTCATTTCTTCACTCATTTCTGAATTGTCATTCTCTCATTTCTCTCCTAAATTGCTATTAATTAACTTTGAAGAATTGAAGTTTAAAAGAGTCGGAGTAGTAAAGAGCAAGTTCATTTGTGGTAACGACTGAGTTGCAAAATTCAATGTCAAGACTTTCAAAACTCATCAAGCGTTCAATTTATTGCAGAATTCGGTGCACTCGTTGCAACTCTTTCTCTTATATAATATTTATTTGCATATTTAATTTTATTAGTTTTAAATTTTATTAGTTAAATTCTCACAATATATTTAATGTTGCAAAACGAGTTTATAGTAAGGTTGCTAGCCGGGGTAATCGAAAAAATAGGAAAAGAGGTGCTAGTTCAACTTCTAATAGTAATATAAATGACTTTACACATGTTTCTGAAACATCACCTGATAATAATATATATTATGAATAGTTACAAGAAGATTATGGTAGAGAAGATAATAAATTAGAAATCAAAAATAAAACACCACCTACACCTAGCAGTGTTGGAGTTGGTCAGCCCCGGTCTAGTCGGGGTGGTGGCCGTGGCACTAGTAGACTACCTGTGGCCCCGGCTACTAGTCATCGGAGAAGGAGAAGTAGAGTTTGAAAATTTTATGAAGAAATAGAGAATTCCGGTAGAGTTAGATGAAAAATTTATAAAAATAATTTTAAACATAAGACTGGAAGGAATT